GGGCAGTGGCCCCTTGAGCCCCTGTCCGGCGGTGCTGGATCGCACGCACCCTCGACAATCCCATTGACACCCATCACCAGGATCGACAGGGCATAGACGCCCAGCGAAATGCCCAGGGCCGAGGGGGCAAAGGCGCTCCCGGGGCCATTGCCGAGACCGAACCAGCCGGCCGGGCTCTGTGCCAGGAGCCCTGGCAGCCCGGCCGAGCCCAGGCCGCACAGGGGCCCGATGGCCGGGGTCCACCGGCCGCCAGGCCCCCCGGCGCCGCTGGACCACGCCCGATTGAAAACCAAGAGGGTCAACGACCGGGAGCACATCCAGCCGAACACCGCGACGCAGGATCCGATCAGCAGCGAGAGCCTGAGCGTCGAGTGGAAGAGCTGTGCATCGCGTCAGTCCATGGCCGAGCATCGGGCGCGGGGGAAAAGAAAACGGCCGAGCAAGCAGCTGGCCGGCGCGCACGTCCATCGACAGGCGCCACCGGTCGGCCGGCGACCGGGCCCCGGCCTGGGCCGCCTGGCCAAACACCTGTCGCGCGCCCTCCTCCAGGGGGGCATACACAAAGCGCAAGATGAGGCCGCCTGCGAGGTGGCAGCATGCAAGCGCGGCCGCGCGGACACATACACAAACGCACCACATGCACGGGCAGCGACGGTGATAGGCGCGTCGGTCAGTCTGGGGATCTTGGGACCACATGTTCAGGCTCCCTTCGCCCTCCCTCCCCCTCCTTTCTCTGTCTCTGGCCGCCCGATTGGCAGGGACCCCCGGGCGCTCGCGCCACAGCCACGCACCATACGCATAAACCATGCCGAAGGTGCCGAGAGCCGACGCCGGGACCAGCCACCCGGCCACCAGGCGATCGCCCTCCGACAGAAGGTACTTGATGGCGGCACTTTGGCCAAAGGCCAGCGAGTCGCCCAGCAGGTCGGCATCCAGCCGGGGTCCTAGCCGGCCGGGGGGGCCCGCACGGCCGGTCAGAAGCCCCCACAGCAGGGCGCTCGACCTGCCCCCCGGGAGACCACAGCCCGGCTGGCTAGCGACGGCGGCCAGGGCCCGATCATTGGCCCGAGCCCAGGCCCACCAGAGGAGCCCGGCGGAGGCCAGCTGCGCCACGGCGAACGGCAGCAGCCGGTCAGCGGAGGTGTCCGGGCCGTTGGCAAGCCGGCCGCCAGCGGCCACCAGCGTCAGGAGCAGGCACACCGCCCGGCCGAGCGACGCCCCGGCCTCGGCTGTGGCGGCCACTTCCACCGGAGGGGGCCCCGGTGCGTCGGCCGGCATTTGGGCCGCCAGGAAGAGCGCCAGGGCATATTGCAGCACGCAGGCCGCCTCGACCAGCGCCGCCAGGAGGTACATCCCCAGTAGCAGCCCTGCCAGCGGCCACACGGCGTCAGTGCAGGCCACAAGTCGCGAGGGCGGGTGCAATGAAAGAGACGGGGCGCAGCGCGACATCGGCATCACCCTCCCGGCAGAGGGGCCGGAGACGTACAGCTGACCGCGCCACTTGGACAGGCACTCGAGCCGAACGGCGCATAGATGGCCGCAAAAAGGAAGAACACCGCCCCGGTGATCGGAAGGGACAGGGCCGCGGTTCGGACCACGGCCGGAAGCTCGGCCACCGGGGCGGTGCCGGCATCGCGGCCTGACGCAAAGCGCCGCGTCAAGCTCACGCGGAAGCACTGTGGCCAGGGGAATGTCGATAGGGGCGGATCCCGGCGTCAACAACTGGAGCGACAGATGACAAGTGTGCGCAGGCCCCCTCCTCCCCACGTGGCTGCACATGTACACACTTGAATGCATGCGCACACACACACTTGAATACATGCACACGCACACGCACACACACGCACACACGCACACACGCACACACGCACACACACACTTGAATACATGCACACACACACACACACACACACACACACACACACACACACACACACACACACACACTTGAATACATGCACACACACCTCGCGCATGAGAAACAGCGAGGTGGCCACCAGCAAGTCGAGCTTCACCACCTGGCCGAAGAGGTCCGGCGAGCTGCGCCGCGAGAGGACCAGCTGGTTGAGAGCGAAGCTCAGCAGACGTGGCACCACACCGAGGGCCACCACCCGGCCGAGTCCACCGAGGGCCGCCTCAGCGGCGGGTGCGTCCATTGTCCGGGCCGAGGGTCGGCAGGCAGACGCGCGTGCAGGAGGCAGGGGGGAGGGCGGGGGGCGAGGGGGAGAGAGGGCAGAAAAGAACGAGGCGTAAGCAAACCCCGGGGGCCAGGGCAGGTGCAGAGGACGCTTGGATTCCGCCCTGGCCGCGGGGCGCCCGGCGCTTCTTGAAATGCCGCGCGCGCGCGCGCGCCGATCGCCAGCATGCCGGCGCCGCGTCCCCCAGAGCAGATGTGGGCTAGGCGACGCGCGCCGCCATGCGTCATCACGTGCGCCAAGCTCCCCGAGCGGAGGCCAGCCACACACGCACATGCGCACGCACACACACACGCACGGGCAAACGCGCGCCGCGGTCTTTTTGTTCGTTTTTTTTCTTTTTTTGGTGATATCTATATTTGAGCAAATACACAAGGCAAAGGGTAGGGAAGGGGGGGGGGGGGAGGAGGAGAGGGGGAAGGAGGGAGGTGCACATGCACACGCGGGGCACGGCACTGGCCGCCTCTGCCGGCCGCCCCTCCCCCGGCGCGTGGACGAGGGGGAGCGACGGGCAGGTGACAAGTAACATGGGTAGGGAGGGAGGCGGAGGGGGGAGTGGAGGCGAGAGGAGGCCGTGCAGGGCGCGCGCGCGCGCCGACTCTCTGTCTGTCTTTTGAGCGGGCCCCGCGGGGCAAATGGGTGGTGCTGCGGGCCAGGGAGGGGGTGCTGTTCACACAACTTACTCGAGGACGATCTTGCAGCCAAGCTCCTCGAAGAGCTTGACCATCTTCTCGGCCTCCTCCTTGGAGATACCCTCCTTGATGACCTTGGGGGCCTCCTCGACGAACTTCTTGGCCTGTGCTCATATCGTGGCAGGGAACACCAGCGGCAGTGTCCGGGGGGTGGGGGTACAATGGCGTGTGAGGGGGAGGCGCTTTGCCGGGTGGGCGGGCAACAGAGGCGAGCATGCGGCCGAAGGGGCCGGCTGTCTTCCCCTCGGGTGGTGTGACGCGTACGGTGACCAGGTTCAGGTGGGGCAGGAGGTTCTTGACCTCGCGGATAATCTTGACCTTGTTGGCGGCGTTGATCTCGACCAGCTTGACATTGAACTCGGTCTTCTCGGGCTCGGCGGCCTTGACCTCCTCCTGTGGACGGAGACCGGGCAACAGGGGACAGGAGGGAGCGGGGCGGTCGGGGAAAGGCAGGGGATTAGCACGGGGCGGCAGCCTCGAGGCGCAGAGAGGGGGCCAGCGCGAGCGATGTGCCGCCATTGACACAGGCAGGGGGAGAAAAAAGAAGGGCAACGGAGAGACGGACCTCAGCGGCAGCGGCACCACCACCGGCACCGCCGCCCATACCGCCCATCATGGCGCCCATGGGCATCATCGGCATGTCGGAAAGGTTGAGACGGGACTGGGGCGGTTCCCATGGTCGGGGGCGGGCGCGAGGGGCGAAGGTCAGCGGCGTGAGGAGTGGCAGGGCGCACCAGGCAGGACGCGACAGAGCCCAGGCCGGGCACGCACCTTCAGGACGGAGACCAGCTCGGAGGTCTCGATGAGGGTGAGCTTGGTGATGGAGTCGGCGATGGCGGCGACATTGGGGCTGACGTTCTCCGGCTCAGAGGACATGAAGCGGGCGGGGACGGCGCGCACAGCGGTGGCAGAGCTAGGGCGAGGCGGGGGAGGAAAAGATGGTCAGACGAAGTGGAAGGGCAGGACCCGGGGAATGGCGCGGGCCGACCAGCCGAAGGGCAAGAGGCGAGGGGGACTTACCGGGCGGCCAGGACGGGGCGGATGGCCATGGAGCGGAGGGCAACGCGAGACTGTGGGCATTCGCGCCGAGGGAGTGGCGAAGCAGGCAAAGCGGGAGGTCAGTGGACTGGTCGGCGATGGCATGGCACAGGGCGGCGAAGGGGGCACAGCCGGCGTCCGGCCGCGTGGGAGCAGGGACGGGGGCGTTGCATGGTCGGGAGCCGGTGTGCGGCCCGAGGCCCGGCGGAGCAAAAGCCGGCCGAGGCCCACGGGCAGGCACCGCGCATGCATCTATCGCTGTGCATTCCGCCCCCGCCTGCCCCTCCCCATCGATGGAAGAGGGCAGAGGAGACGCGCGCGTGCGCTTGGCAGGCTTGAGGCCAGGCACACGTGTCCAGACGTCGGGGAGCGACCTGCACATCGCCAGGGCCCCGCGCCACCGGGGCGGTGCGCGGCCAGGAGGCTCGTCACCACGACCGGGACCGCGGCAGGCAGGCGAGAATATTCAACGAGAGGGGGGGCGAGACCGGGAGGCCAGAAGGAGGGAGGCAGGTGGCAGCCGCGGGCCGACGTACAAGCATGGTGACCGAGGGTGGGTAGAGGCGGCCGGCGAGAACCGAGCGCGG